TTTTCATTTTCAATTTCATAGATTGTTTATAATGACTTTTGCTAAAATTTCAAAATCAAAAGTTATCAAAACAAATTCTATGGGACTGAGAAATATTATTTTCTACTTTTTAGTCCATTTATAAAAGCGTTGTATATTAAAAAGTTTTTTTTATATTATTTATTCTTTGTTGATGCCACGCGAAATTTACTATCAACAATTCCTCTTCAATCTGCGATTAGGAAATGCAATTGGCAGCACTTGTGGAAACATTTTTCTTTACGACGTTTCTTGCGTTTTGCGACATTTAAGCGTAAACTTTTCTTTGTTAAATTCTTTCGTCCTCATTCTTAAAGCGGAGCGAATCGCGAACTCATAAATAAAAATACGAAAGCGTGAATTCGATAAAAGCCGAAACGCCAAAAAACCCCTCGATTTCGCTGACTGTGCGTGCATGCCTACCCCGCTGACTTCCGTACACTTCTTGCCTACAAACTCAACACGCATGACTTTCCACCCAGGGTGAAAAGTCATCGTGAAGCCTTAGCAAGAGGGGAACGACTTTGTCTAGTTGTCATCTGAAAGTAGAGGTGGCAGATATTTGCGTACCTGTGACTTTGTCACGGTTACTCAAAAGTCACGGGTAGCTTGCTGTGACAACTTCCAAAAAGACTGTGACGAAGAACCAGTCGCAATGATGTTTTTGTATGGGATTTCGCCTTCCACAATACCAGTAACAGTCATAGTCGCTGCTACGAACTGTGACTGTGACAAGGTAGAATTCGCTATTCCATATCGAGAAACAGCAGCCAGTGATGTTAACTTTAAAGAAATTTCCTTATAATCACAGGTTATTTGAGACTTAAATCTGATTAATGTTGTTTGATATTCGAATTTCACATCATTAAAAACAAGTGTGAATGACCAAAACAAATGACGAAAATAGTCAGTGATGCCAAATAAATGAATAATGTCCTTAGTTCATTCGCTAAAAGATTTCTGTTCTGCAACTTTTTTGTCAGTGTTTTTGTCACAGTCACGGATGAAAATCACTGTGACTGCAAAGTCACGAGATCGCCCATCTCTATATAAAAGTAGCCAGAAATGATTCTTTGGCGTACAGCGTATACTTCCCGATTGATTTTAGTAAGGTATGACCAACAGTGTCTGTAGTTTCAACGAATTTCCAAATATGTGTCATGCCATTTAGAAGGAATTTCTGAGCTGAAGATGATAGAAGGCATTATAACATTAATAGCATTTCCTTTGCGGCATCGAGGCTACTCAGCCAACGGTTACAGCTGGAGAGCTATTGAGAGGGAAAACTTACACGAATTTTAAATTTTGACAACTAAAGAACTTATAAAAGAGTCAGTACTGAGATACCGAGTACAATTTTTTTAGATATGAGTCTGACTACTAGGGTCAACTCCATAACTCTGCTTAGTGCAGAGTTATACAGCATTACAAAATGTCTCAAAGCCGAAGCCGGTTTGTCTCCTAACCAAGATATATCATCCGGTTGGTTGCAGTGCTTCCTAGAAGCTGACCAGAATAATATTAACGCATTTTGCGTAATTTCTATACACTTCTGGCACATGCTACAAATGTATGTTGCTTGGTCGAAACATCTTGAATTTCTGATGAATTTGCCTACTTTGCTTATCGTAGCTTCTGATCGGTCTGTTAGTTGTGTTACTAGGTGTTGTACCCAGTGTTTGTTATTAAAAGTGCTTAGACCAAAATACAAATGCGACTTCAAACAAAGTGTAGCGATTACAGAAATTTGGTTGATATGAGATGAAAATTTGTTTGGACAAATCACCATGCTACGCAGTCTTACTCTGTGATATTTTGTATGATGGTTAATTTGCTGGAATTCTCGAAGAATGTATCTCATAACTGCAATCAATTACAATATGGGTACTAATTGGTTTTCGGCATTTTGGATTAATTATGATTTTAATGATAAAATAAAGGAATAACTTGTTTCTAACTGTTTGATGCAACTTATGCTGGATTTCCACTAGGCATTAAATGGCAAAAATGACAAATGACAAAGTGGGGCATTAAAAAATAATCGTGTCATTACATTAAAAAAATAGTAATTGAATTCATTTCCACATGGCATATTTTTTTTGTCATGTCAATGCCTAGTGGAAATTCGGCATTAGGTTGTAAAAATATTAATTTTGAAATGTATGTACATACATATATCGTCACTAGACACGAATAAAGGCGCGAGCTCAAAAGTTGACGGCGAAAAAAGACGCATAAAAAAACTTCAGTGTCAAAAACTCTTAACATACTTCACCGAAGTTTTTCATAAGCATCTTTTTTCGCAAAATTTTTTACGCGCCTTTTTTCGCCGTCAAAACACTAGCGCGCCTTTATTCGTGTGTAGTGACGATAGTTGCGTTCCAGATGCTTCACGATATTCACGAAATTCACGATTTGCAGGAACAGCTGTTTTCCCCATTAATAAACCTTATGGGAGGTGGTCACCTGGAACGACTTCCTGTAAAAACCTGCAAATCGTGAAGCATCTGGAACGCAACTGATACGTATTGTGGAACGTATTTCCTTTATCTCTTCTGAATTTTGATTTGGAGACAAAGCGGTTTCTTGTTGTAGCATCTTAAGTGTCACTTTTCGTTCTGACACCAACAACCAACATAAGAATAATTTTTAAAGTTTTTTGGTTGTCTGCTTCGGCTCGCCAAAGGTTCTGCCAAGGATGGGATGATACGAGACTCTCTCATTTGACTTAGGAGAATCTAACCTAATCTCATTATCTAACTTGGCAACCCTGCCCTGTATTTAAAATCAATAGATTTTCTACAATCAAATTAAAAAGATTTGCTTAAAGATAGTGTTTATAAGAAAAAGAAAACATTTCTAATAGCAATTTTTAACACTAAATAAAAAAGAAGATACTAAAATTCAAAAAGTTTACTTGTTTTTACGAATCAAAAAAATTCACCAAAATTTTATCAATAAATTTTTCGCTGCAGTGCAAATATTGAGAGATCTTATAAAAAATGCACCTTTTGGCATCAACTATTATCTAGTACTTTCGTATGGAGCACAGATTGGCTGACTTCCAAAACGTATCAATACAATGTTTTGAAACTGTTATACTACGGTGTTCAAACTGTTTGTATATGCAGAGTTGCGACACATTGTAACCATATACATTGCATATTTTAAATATTCAATATAGCAATGAATTAAGATAGAAAAATGTAATCTTACCCTTCGACGTCGGCCATTGTTTACTTCGAAATGTCATCAAAGTATCAATTAGCTTGGCGATGCGCAGTTTGCTTTCTTTATACGCATCGATAACTTTTACGATACATTTTGGGACATGCCACATCGTCAAAAATTACACATTTGCATTTAGGAATGCGTGAATTTGTATAGTTGCTTTGCAACTGACGTTTTGGACATCAGCCTATGTTACAACGATTTCTACTTTTAATTAGTTAGGCGCCTACATAAGAAAATATTTAATGTTAAATATCTTTTGGATTTAAAGACCGCTTTCACCATTCCTAAATTGAGCGGTTGCGACTTATAATTTCAATATGGAAAGTTCAAAATACAAGCCGAATTGTTTTTTCTACAAGCTATTTCAAATTGATTTTAAAGAATATTTTATTGTTTTGAACTATTTACTTTGTTTTGTTTATCACTAACGAATTATAGCTCAACCAGCCGCCGACGTAAAACCGTAGAGCTTGTCAGCTGACACGACCTATCTAATGGGACTCTCGTGTTAACGAAAACTTACCTACATATGACGGTGACCAGTGTTGCTGTTGAAAATTTGCAGAAAATCGGAAAAAGGGGTCATTGACGAAAAAAGGCTCACCATATTATTTTTGCTTTCCTTTACTCGTAAAAGAATAATTCTGAGAACCAAAGTCAAAATTAAGTGTACATGTATCGCTGCTAGAACGTTTTACTGTTGAATTTAAAAAGAAAATAGCGGGACAAGCTTTGCATAAAACAGATTTGCAAACATACACAGCAATCGAGTTGCATTTCCTTTAAAAGTTTTAAGTGATTCATTTTTCGTACTTACAGTAGAAAATATTTTTAGTAGCATGGCTCTGTTAACATTTCCTAACGAAATCTCTGAGAAGGGGCAAAAGTCGCACATAATTTTGGAAAAGGGACGAAAAATCAAAATTTTCAAAAAGTCCTGTCAAAGGATATTAGCGCTTAAAAAGGGTCAAATTTCCCTTTAGTCGCACAACGGCAACACTGACGGTGACGTTGTCGTTGCTTCTCTCTCTCTCTCTCTCTTTATCAACAGTAATTTCATATAATGATACGAATGTCAATTTCAGAAGGGCGCTCCGTGTGGCTGGTTGAACTTTTATTCTTGCTTACGGGAACGTTTGGCTCATATTCATGAAATTGATACACAATTTTGAATAATTTTGAAAAAATAATACTTTTATATTTACTTCAGCTGATAAAAAGGAACTCTGAATTGCGCCATTGTTTACGAGGCTGTAAAAAGGTGCATTTCCAAAAAAGCCTCCAACACTTTCGTGTTTTTCGAGTTTTCCATTTTTTGCGTTTAAGGGAATCCTCTAACTATTAGATATTTAAATAGCTACGTAGTCCTAAATAACTGTCCCATCTGTCTTTAGTTAAAGACACACAAATAGGGACACGAATTTCGATACGATACGATACCATATCGATACTTTTGGCATTCGATACCGATATTTTCTGCTCGATAGTTTTAAAACGATATTTTTTGGAATCGAGTACCAGAACCCTAGTATCGTATCGAATGTCATAAACTCACATTCCAACACTGAGGGAAAAAAAT